AAAAATATCATCTTCTCCTACGTGTGTATCAACTTAATAATCTGTGAATTTAATTTACTCGATTATTATCAGGTTTCGATTCTATTAGGGTTAAAAATAAAAGATCTAAACCTTTTTCCGGTTCTAAGAATACTAATCCATAACAACTAATCAACCATTTGCTTATTTCCTAATTTTTTGTTTTAGAGTCTATACTTAATTGATTTTGTTGTATATTCCTATACCAAGGTTGTGTTATGTGAAATCCTCATCCATATATTTTATGTTTGGTCAAATAACGTTACAACAACGATGAATGGTTTTTTCAAAATCACTAATAATGTCTGTTGGTTTAGAATCACAATTTATAGCCCTACATATTCATGGACGTGTTTTAAACATGAAATATATGTATCTGTAGTTTTTCGGCTAATAAATAAAAAACAAGCCGTCTGTAATGACCATTTATATGACCGTGCCTTGTAAACATCCGTTTACAAAACTTGGCACAGTATGAGAGTAAGTTCCGTGAACATAAATATATATTTAGATGTGAAAAGCGTTTTTCAATTATTATCACAACTAAAAATGATTACTTTTTCTTGTCTATCAATAATTAATAAAAAAAATTGTATTTCTATTCGTAACTATTTCCATATTTTCTAGGGTGTAATTCTTCGATCGATTTTGTTAGCGCAGGCTTTAACTTTCTTTTGGCATTATACATATTCCTCTTAACACACCGAATATCACTCACAGATCTCAGGCGTCAGGTACACAGTTTACTACACTGCAAACATTTTTATTTGGCTTAGTGCAGATATCCTCAGTTGCTTTACGTTTGTCCTCGGCAGTAACACATTGTCTTTGTAGTACTTGGTCCCCAACAGGTTCGTGGTCATGATCATCATTTTTCTCGGTAATATTATTATTTATTCCAAACATTTTTAAAAACACTCTACACTCGCGGTTTATACATCGTCACTGTAATTTGCCTGAAGCTAACGTACGAGTTACTTTAAAATGTTCTAAAACCAACAGTAGTCATCCACATTGGGACTCAACTATGCGTGTCATCGTCACGGTTGTACAAACACTACTGAAACTTCGTTTCAAAAGTCCAATACGAAAATTAAACTAATTGCCTCAACGTTTAAACGTATTTTAAAAATTCGTTGTTCAATCAAATGATCTTTGTACTTCGGACTTTTGTAAACGAGATTTGTTAAATCTTAGAATAAGCAACCAGCGTTGGTAAAAGTTCAAAATTGTAAGTCAAGTACGAGTATGTGATACTTTTTTCCCTTGCTTTATACACGTATATAAAAAAAATAATAATTATTATTTAAGTATGTTAGGTACTACATTAACTATTACCACTAGCATAGGTATTATTATCATCCCATATCGACTGCGATTTTTGCGTCTTCAGGGCTCATAATGCCTTTCACTATAATTGGCAGATTTGTAAAGCTGTGTAGTACAACAACAATTTTAATAATTCATTTTCGTAAAATGTAACTATTGATCGTAATTATAATACAGTCCCTAAAAGTGGCGTGATAACATTTCAATAAAAATTGAGGTACAACAAATTATAGGCGAAAATTACAACTGTCACAGGTTGAGAAATTCGTCTGGATTTGAATGTTTCATTATGCCACTACAAGGTGGTTTACAATAATTACGTTTTTATCCATTTGATGTATTTCCAAATCCAAACCGTCATCGAAAAAGCTCATTACTTGTTTTGTCAATCCTGAGCCTTCGGTTGGATCCATTTTCCACAAATCGTTGGCGAAATTACCTAATGTTATGTCGGTCTTTGATGAGTGCATGTGTATAACACCTATATTATATAATCATAACATCAACTTACTGCAAGTGACTGGTCAGAATAAAATTGTTTTTAATATTCTTGTAACGGATTCCGTGTACGCCGGGTAAATCGACAGTCAACACCAGTGTTTTGAATCCGGCCTTTTCCGCTCGGCCTGTCAACGACTTGGTCAAATTCCTAAAACGCATGATGGAAAGTATAATATAATATAATAAGTATAATATAATTCATCACACGTAAGAAATGGTGAGTGGGCGCATTTGACCATTCACAGACTAATGTCCCGCAGGCTGCAATACGAGTATGCAATATGTTTGTATATTGTTTACTTGTCTTTATATGTGTACAGTTGAAACCGTTTGACAGTGTTCGGCGCCGCTTCGGCCACCTCTTTCATACTGCAAGTGTGCGACGTCGACAGAATGATAACCGAACCATGCTTTTTAGCAGCTATGATATAATAATATTTTTATTTATTTTTTTTTTTTTTTTTTTATTTATTAAAATAAGCGCCAAGGCTGGCTCATTTACAGAATTATAAATAGTAAATACAATAACATATACTATAACAACGTTTAAAATAACAACAACATTATTATTATTATAATAATATTAGTTGAATACAGTTAATGGATTAAACAATTGCTGAACCGTTTAAAAGAGGTGAACAATTTATTTTGCTACTTATTGATTTGGAGTTGCAACTTTCAACACAAGTATTTCCTGAAGACGTATCCGGCTATACACAAGTAATATTGTTATACACCACTCACCCCTAGCAGTTGTAAGTTCTCCGTCCTCGTGAGCCAATTTGTTCGTAGCACAGGGGGACACTCCAATAGGCACTTTTACCTGAGCTCCATAAACAGTCAAGTTCAAGTCCCGTTTCTGTACATTTCGCAACACTCGGGAAATGATTCGCAATCTACATAAACGGCAGTTATAAGTTGTAGTTACAGTTATATTATTAGTTTTATGATATTACAAGTTTATTTTTATTACATAAGTTATAGTTACATGTATAATATTGTAACAACAGCAAAATAAGATAATTTTTCTTATTTGTTAAAAGCGTTTCTGTTGTTGGTTAGTGTGAACTCATCACACACAGGCAGCATTTACATAATAGCCCAAACAGTTTTTGGCAATGCTGCTTCAGCATATTCTTCAAACTCTTTGACACTGATCAATATATTGTTCATTTTGTTTTATTATTACTTAATAAAAACAATAAATGTGACTTCTTAACTCGTTCTGTGATCTATGTGGACTGTAGTACAGAAATAAAAACGTCTATCATACGAGTGATATTTATATATTGCCATCGATTACATTATGGGAATAACCATGAATCATGGATTAAATTAAATATCAAGATTAATATAATGTGTTAATGTCGATTTACATTATGATAACGGATCAGAAACGTATATTATCAATATGTTATCCTCTGTACTGCGTACAATTCGTCATAAATACACTATGGATTAAGTTGAGTCACCTTAATTATCAATTTACTTTTACCCAACATGACCGATTTTAAAAGTGAAAACTAATCATGGGTGTATCTTTAAGATTCAATGATATCAAAGACATTTTTTCCATATATTATTTTATATCCAAATGCTCACGCCATTCTGAAAAAAAATTAAATTAAAAAAAAATGATGGGCTATATGCAAATGTTTAATAATGTTTGGGAGGAAAAACACGGATACATATACAATGGCGGATCCAGCATATATTACGGTCGGGGCACTTTGTAAAAGAAATCATTTAATATAACTAATTATATGCGTATTTAGGGATGACTATGACTCTCTAGTTTGATTTTTAATTCTCTAAGCTAAGATTGTTAGTTAATTTTTCTCATAAAATATTTTTTAATACGTTATGATTTTATTACAAATAATTAAATTAAATACAGCTACAACGATGGAGAGAAAAAACATAGAAAATACTTAAAATTTTACTCTTTTTATTGAAAAAATTATCATTTTTAGAGGTGTGGCCCGTTACATATATATATATATATATATATATATATCGATTAGGTTAAATGGAGTTGTAGAGCAAGATATGCTTCAACTAAATCAGAATTGAATGATAGTATTGCTGTATTGTAATCATAAATTGCTACAAAAGTATTATTGGTTTGGGGAATATCTGATATGAATACATTTAAGAGATCTGAAGACAAATAACTCCCTTGGAGTACTCCTACATTGGAAATGAGACACCAAGAAAGTTATTATTATATTTAAATGAGTAGTATCAGGGTGGATATCAAGGTGTGGTTTAAATATATTGAAAAGGTATTCGCCAAACAGATTGGCGTTTTGTCAACTTCATTTAGTGCGAGTGAACAATCTGATTTCTTAATAGGATATAAAAGATCTTTTAAATTTTTGTAAGTTTTTAGTGGTTTTCCACAAATAGCCGTCTATTGTATTTAAGGATTTGAATTTTTTAATTTTAATATTAGTTTTTTTATTTCATTTGCTATATTATTAATAGTATGTATACCAACTAAGTAGTAACTTAGTTGTAATATTGTGCGAACGGCAAAGTATCTACCTATACTTGACGTCTTCATAAAAATTGTTCGGTTAAATACTCAAAGACTATTGTTTTTTTGTAAACACCATAACCAGTGTATCTAAAAAGTCAAAGAACTTTAAATTCACGATTTATAAGAATCACTCATGACAACGCAAAAAGCATGACAACTATTGAAAATGTCAATAGCAATTAATATTTCGACTGTTAGTTGAATGTTAAATGTTTAATAATTTCGCAAACGTGTATATACAGTGTTCATTGCAGTTTTAGAATATCATTACTCAGTAAAACGTGATTTCAGAACGCATTCAGGTGATCATATAATTTTACATTTTTAAATTAAAATAAATTACTGATTTTCATTAATCTAAGATTTAGCGTTATGTCCTAAAACAGGGAATTTATATAAGGTTTTGTTTGTATAAATAATACGTTATTGGTTAAAGAACTTTGAATTTTAGAATATTTGAATGGGGCACATAGCCTTTACGATCTCATCTTCTGTATAAACAATCCGATAAATCATAATTATTTTACCACGCGCTCCACCATGAAAAATGTAATAAATATATATTGCCAATATGTTTTAACCAAACAAATTTATTAATTTAGGCAAAACCATGAGTGTAATAATAAGATTACAAAATTTGCCGTGGTCGGCAAATGCCGCTGACATAAGACAGTATTTCGAAGGGCTATCAATACCCGGAGGTGGAGTGTATATCGTCGGCGGGAAAAAAGGCGATGCCTTCATTTGTTTTAGGTAAATAATAATTAGGAAATGAATTTAGTGATTGGAAATTTCGTTTTTTTTTTTTTACATTTTCTTATGGCTACTTCCAATTATTTAACAGTACTGATGAGGATGCTAGGCAGGCTATGATCATGGACGGTGGTCGTATCCAGGATGTACGTATCAAACTGATGTTGAGTTCGCGCGACGAGATGCGTAAATTCGTCGGAACTGCGCGACAGCAGATTAAGCAAATCGCGCAGGTCCACGTGAATCAAACGCAGCAGCCGCAACAGCAACAACGTACGAGGCCCCATCCTTACAAGTGCAACGGCAAAGAGAACCCGACCACGAAAAGAGCACAGCCCGTTAGCGGCGGAAACGGACGGTTTCCCGCGGAGAACGCCACCACCACCGCTGGCGGTAGCCACTGCTGCCACGAAACAGTACTGGTGTCTTCCGCACAGCTGCCCGTCCGGTCGGAAGTCGCCCCGCCGTGCATCCGTTCCGACTGCGTGCACGTGCAAGGACTGCCCCCGTGGGTGACCACCGCGGACGTCACGCAGTTCTTCGGCCACGCGTCCGTGATGCCCGTCAAGGTGCACGTCGTGCTCACCAAGTTCGGCTGTCCCACCGGCGACTCGTACTGCGAGTTCGGCACCGTGCACCAGGCGCGCATGGCTCTGGCCAAGGACCAGTGTTACATGGGCCCGAACCTGGTGCACGTGTCGCCCGTCAGCCGGTCGGATATGATCGTAGCCATCGCCAGGCCGTTGCAACAGCGCAACCGCGTGAGCAGTCGCGGCGTTGGGCACTGGTGATAATGATGTCCGTGATCCGGCAACACAACGTTGTACAGCTAGAGCCACAGCAGGAATCCCTGCCCCTATTTTGTGGCCAGGCCGACCCCGAAGATATCACATAATCGGTTAGTAATTTCGGACTATAACCAACGCTAGTTGATTATTCTAAGATTTACCGAATATCTTTAGCAAAAGTTCAATCTACGAAAATCATTCGGGGACGTGACCAAGCTGTTTTGAATATCCTACATTTTGCCAGTAATCCAGTAATGTTTACCGTAATATAAATATATGTATTAAAACCAAAACCATTTGTATACGTATGCGTACTAAGTATGTATTTAATATTGTTTTATTCTGATTTAATTCAATGTACCGACATTGAATTTGATTAACTACATAACAGCTATGACGTTTACTGTTGAGAAAAACAACTCGTAATGTTTGTTCGTTTTCGGAGATTAAAGGCAGCCGAATTACAACCTCCCAGAAATATCTGATAGGACTCGACTGAAATTTTTTCAGGACACTGAATTGAGTGCGGCATAAAACAATTTAAGTTCACATTCGGCACGCCGTAATGTGTGTGTAGTGTTCTGCACGGTCCGTTATTTTAAGGACCAGACCAGACTTCAAATTTTCCCAGGAGACCGGTGTCGGACTGGACCATATTTAAACGTTAATCAAAGACCAAAATTGAACCGAACCGACGGTTTAATATTATTTTTAGATCGGACCAGTAATTAAATAACATTTAATAAAGTAGACCGTAGACCGAACTGTCGCACAGTGGGGCAAAAGACCATCAAAGTTGACATTGAATCATATATGAATTAATTTTTGTTAATTTTAAATATTTACTTAGATTTTAAAACAAAAAAAAATTAATAACGTAATTTGGAAAAATGTATTTTATTTTTATTTTTATATTGAAAAAAGACATATTTTCATTTTTATATTGAATTAAGACATATTTACATTTTGATAATATAAATATTATTTATTTAGGCTCTAAGTATTATAAAAACTGGATTGATTTATTTATTTTAATGTGAAAGTTTTTATACTGTACTTAAGTTAATCGTCGCTGCAACTATCCGAATCGGTTTCGTCACTATGGTAATCATCGTTCGTATCTCTTTCATAATCTGATTGGCCTGGTCCACGTAGCTAGTTCAATGGCTCTGGTAAATGATATTAGTGGTATTAAGATCAAAAATCAGCCGAATTATAATGAACCGGTCTATAAAGTTTACAAAAATGCAAATAAGATTTATAACGCATTTCATTTTTTTTATTTTCTGCCAACTTTGATGGTCATTTATCCTACTGTGTGTCGATCCGATCTTAAAACATTTTAAACCGTTTATGAACCGGTCCGTAAGGTTCAGTCTATATTAGCCCAGACCGTACCATACGATGCGTTTAGTATTATACTGGACCGAACTACCCAACTATAAATAAATATATACCTAAAGTTGTAGGTTTTTTTCGTTTTATTTGATTATAAAACAATATTTGTATTTAGATTTTAAGTACCATGATTGGGACCGGGCTAAGCCCGGACCGAACTGAAAATAATGCATTTGATCATAGGACTGGACCGAACTACTCCTAAAAATGATTGAACCGGACCAAACTGACGATTCAGTAATTTTTGTATGTTAGGACCGTACTAGACCGGACTATGCAGAGCATTAGTGTGGTAGTCACCCGGGTGGGCTTCGGGTGGTCTCCGGTTATATTGTTGCAAGAGTCGAGGTCGCGATGAATATAACGTAATAAGTTATTGGATTTTATTTTTCGCACAACCGAACCAGCGCGCGTACAAAATACACGTAACCGTAGGCCTCTAATATGTGTTTTTCGGGCGCGTTCTGTCGTGTTCACGAGCACTTCCAAGTCTTCTGCTCCCCGTCCGGTATCGCGTACGGTTTCAACGAGCAATATCACGAAACTATGTCCGACACACTGTGAGATATTTTCTACAAACAAATACACGTATACAACGTCCGAACCGCATCGTTTTGGCACTATGTTTTCGTTGGACGTCGGTTCGCAAAGAATTAATCCGCACGCGGTAGGTCGTCTTTATCGATCCATTTGAACACGCTGTAGATGTAAACGTGTACTCGTCGATTCCCGTCGGCGATGCCCAGTTATCTGCATAATACACAGTGTTTATCGCAAGCAATTTTTTTGGCTTCAACGTCGCCGGGAATCGTTAACGGTAGTGCTAATTTTTGCAAATTACCTAATTGAAATCCAACATATTAACAGCAACGTTATTAGTACTCGTATGATTAAAAACGTTAACTTCATATCAAGCCAAGTGGCTAAACTATAGACTAAAGGTTTTTAAGTATTTCAGTTACACGATTATTGAAGAACAGGATTAATAAATTTCGAAAAAAAAATCCCGAGTAGGACGCTAGCCGTATGAAGTTGACCATACCATGTACTTCGAACTTTGTGTAAAATATCGGTTTTGCATTCTTGGAACCGATTCGAGTAAAACAGTTGAATAAACAATCATCGTTCAGCCGATAATCGATTACCAATGTATAGTTTCTATTTCTATTTCAAGCTTTCACACGGAATATGTTTAAGATAATTTTAACATTTTTCCACTACATGGTTTTCATTTGAATGGAACACTGGCGGAAAAATGTGAAGATTAAGTTACATTTTACCCGTCAAATATTTTATTTCACTATTGTGTTATCTTCATTAGTCTCGGATATTTGCTAATCACGACCCCTCCCTCATATGTATTGCATAATATAAAATATACGTATAATAAATACACACCTCGGTCAGCATAACTAAATTAACAGTATTTCTAAACGTATGGAATTTTTCAAAACGGTCTTTCTTCAACGTCCCATCCAGTTAGAGGGCGAATGCGAATTAGTCACGTACGTTTTTGTCTTCCCATTTGAATGGATTGATTTCGCATATTTTCCGTTCGATATACAATCATCGATTGCTACTACCTAAATAAGAATAAAAGTAAAAATATTGTTGGAAAAATATCGTGGTCTGCATAATCAATATATTCACGCGTAAGATACGTAGATTATTGCACCGTAAATTTTTGTGACAGCCGTGGCGTAAACTGTACTGTTTCTTGAAAACCGTATCGCTCGCGCATTTGTTTACGCGGTAGTCGATTGATTGCTGTTGACAATGACTCCGACAACTTGAGTAGAACTAGAATATCGATAGTTTTCCTTTTTGTACGTAAACACGTAACGTGTGGACATTTGTCTTACGATATACGTACGGGTTAGGTATCACTACGTAATGGTTTTACACCGATGTAATTTCTACTATGCATATAACGACTTTAAAAGCATTGGATGTAACTTTTTTTCATACGTTTCGTAGACATTTTTAAGAAACCGTGTGCTTTCCGTACAATTTAAAGAACGATGATCGAGCTGTACGAAATCTTGAAGATAAACGTAAATAATAATTGAACGCAAACGCTGATATACAGATATGGTAAAAGAAGTACATCCTCTTAAAATCTAAAATAAAAAAATAAACACCATCGTCCACTATGATTAAACCAATAGATTTCAATACATAATTTCAATAATAATTATAAAATTTATTTTTCGCATCTTCGATTCGTATAAAATACATTTCATTTCGAATTTAATATAGTAACTTTTATGCGATCTTTAAAGTCATTTTTGTAAAAAAAAAATATTTGACGACTACTTTTTTACTAACTCGTAATCCTAATCCCTATGTACAACTATAGGTGGTTGTATGAACGCAAAATACCGTCATCGGATCAGTCGAATTCATTTGATCGTATTGCTTTATAATATATGACGGGTTTCCATGTTAATTATTTCACAAATTATTAATGTATAATTTAGTGAATTTTTCTCCGTTTTATTTCAATATTGTCCTCGGTAACAAACTAAATTAAAACTATTACCAGCATTATTTGGTAGTAAAAATGTACATAAAAATATAATTTATTCACCTCTGACGTATTACTAAATGTATAGAATTTATTCCAATATATCTTATATTAGTTAAACGGTCGACAGTCTTGTTTTTATATTAATTCCGTATTTTTCGTGGGTTTCCTTCATTATGCCGTACTTCTCGTGAGTTTCCTTCCTTTTGTACAATGTCCCTCGTAGTCGTCGATTTTCAGTTAAAAAATGTTGAATGTGCGCAAGAGTTGCAACCATTGGTGTATGCGAAACGACCACCCCCAGTGATGCGTTACTCGATCCCCGGAAGCACGCGTGACGAAACGTTCGGTTCGTCAGGTCACACGCGTAACACGGGTAGCGTTGGTCTCATTATGGTCGTACGTCCGGTTCGATTCGCACGAAAATCGGCTAATAATCGATACGATAATATTGTTACAATTGATTTTGGATCGTGCTAAAACGTATATTATTGACATCGATAGCATCTTACGTGGACGCAGCCGCTAAACGTCGCTGTAATCGCGTTCAGTCCGTTGTGCATTTAATTTAACAAAACAGATCAATAGAAACAACGAGTGTAACAGAGTCAATAGTTTTTTTTATTGTTGAAAACCTGTTCTGATCAAGTCGAATGTAACCCGGTGAATGTGTTCTACGATTAGTAAAATAGAACGTAGGTTAGGTTGTCTAACGTTCTGTTGCCGATGAGACTTGCGAAAATTCGTAAAAAATTCGCTAAAATCACATTTACATATGATATATACTAATAATTGTATTGGTGTTATATTTGATAATTTTACATAAAAATATGAGTGTAAAAAATACGAATTTTACTGGAAAAAATTGCTTTTAAGAAAAAATTTAATTTTTTGACAAATGAAACATAATGGCTTACCTTTGTTTTCGACGAAAAAGTATAAATCAACCCAAGAATTATTAAAAAAACGATGTTTATCACAAATTTTTCTTTTTTTAGTCGCCATAATTTTTGGATTTACTTGTAAAATGAATCTATTACAAACGTAAACAATAACACGTACAGGCATAATCACGGTG